CCCTGCCAGTAACACGCTCAATAATGTCGGGTAACTCCTCACGTACGGCTCACGAAATTTCCACAGCGATCCAATCCCGCAGTGGACTCTCCTGGAGGCAAGGTGCGTGACCCACCTCCGATCCCTGATAACAAGATCTAATAACGGTATCCTCCCTTCCGAGGGATCCTAGTGATCCATAAACACTGGGCCCCAGAGGAGCCCCTAACTACCCCATAACGATCTCGGCCCGGAAGGCCTCGAGGCGGCTATCCAAAAGCTCCAATATCCCCTCCTTGACTATACCGAAGATCAAAGGAGTCTGGTATAATATATTGCGCGTAATTTCAGTTGAAATAAACTCTCGTATCTGCTCCCCGAGCTGCTCGGCTCCTGAACTCGAGCCTGATCCCTCACCTGCACCAGAACTGCCCACTGGTCTACCCTGAAGCGTCACCATGCTGCAAGCATACCGTTACTACCATCAGAATACTCATTACTACTGAGGGATCTCACACACTCACTACAAGATCCTTGGTTTTATCTCAGCCCTTCTTGAATCGAGTACGGATCCTCTGATTTCAGTAGTACGGGCCCATACTACCTTCCACATCTATTCGTACTTTCCTCAAGAATTTCCTCAACTCCACCAAGTCCCTTTCACTACTACTATTTCTCCCAACACTAATCTCATCCTAGGCTTGCCCTAGGGTATCCTCCAACTCACTCTGTCTTCAGCTGCTGAAGGACTTCCCAGTAATGTCAACTAGCTACATTATAAACATAGCCACATGCAACAGAGATCAGATAATCCTTCGAGTAAAAGACTCATCCCTAGAACGGTTAGACTCAAACGAGAGTTGCGCAATAGGGTCAAATCCATCACTCTAAGATTATCCAGCCTGTGCCACATGTGACTTAGCATATTCACTTAATAGATAGCTCACATTACTAAGAGTCCCACAAAGCACAAAGCAAGCAACATTCGGACAATGGGAAAAACTAACCACATAATCGAGCATATCACATTCAGGCCCTCACTAACTAATCTGTACTAGCGTACGGTTCATAAAGCTGAGATACATATAACAGGCACATAAGGCATCCTCCCTACATCCTTAGTCCTAACTAGCATGCAATTCTCATAAAGCTGACACATATCATAGGCACATAAGGCATCCTTCCTAGATCCTTAGTCCTAATCTGGCATGCAGTTCTCATAAAGCCGATACACGTATCATAACATAAACTTGTATGGGTAATTTGGGAGTACTTACTTGAGCTCGGCTGATTGCATGCACCACACCCTTTTCTCTTTTCCAAGTTCTTTTGTCTTTTTAAAATTCTATTCTCTTTTCTAGATTCTTTTTATAAAAAGATTTCCATTTTAAAATTTTCATACCAAATCCTCAGTTTGAGTTCAGACACACCCGAGAGTGTGCCCGAATCCCTCAAACCAAGGCTCTGATACCAACTTGAAACATCCCAAAAATACAGTCTGAAAATTTTGTTTTAAATTAGTAATATAACCATAATTATCTTTTAACATATAAAAGTTATAAGCCGTGCATCTCAAAAAATATCATAACATCTATTAAACATATCAGAGTATAAACATCTCAGGCTGAACAAATGGTGTGTGCACTGCAATCTTCCCGAGCTCCTCTTTTGAAAACTGAAGTACCTGAAACCAAAACTGAAAACTGTAAGCACGAAGCTTAGTGAGCTCCCCCAAACTACCACATATCATACAATAACACATATAACACATACTGGGCCTTCCCCACTGCATCGGGCCCCGCCCGGCATCGGACCGAAGTCCCAATGTTGTTGGATTTCGATGAAAATGTGCGGCCGTGAACAGGGTTTACGGCCTTTGAAGATATGAAGTGTGTACGGCCGTAAACTCAAGAACAACGTTGTTGGATTTCGAAGAAAATGTGCTCCAAATGCCCCGAAATTACTCCCAATGGTGATTCTCAATGATTTCCGGAAGAATCAGGTCGTTTTAGGTGTTTACGGTCAAGAGTCTAGAGAGAGAAGGAGAGAGTTTTCGGTCAGAAAAGTCTAAATGAAGGGTAGGGACACGTATTTATAGGGGGGTTTTCGTGGTCGGTGGTGGGGGTCCACCCGACGCTGGCCGTAAACGAGTGTACGGTCGTACACGGGTTTACGGCCGTAAACTCACTATGGCCGGAAATTGTTTGATTTTTCGAGAGATTCGGGTTTTCGCGTGATTTGGTTCCGAATCGCATATATAAATTTAATTCTATAAAACTAGATGATTTTCTAAATCAAGAAGATTGACGGAAAAATTAATAAAATTCAAATTTTATTAACAGAAATCAAATAACAGAAACGGAAAAAGTTTCGGGTTGTCACAGTGGCAACCCTAAGTCCAGAAACGGATTTGCACCATAAAAATCCATTCTTGAAACCAAAAAGGAACAATATCCATGAGAACTTAGATTTATGATGTAGAAGCACCAAGATGAAAACTTTATACCTTCAATAGGCTGGAAATGATGTAAAACCTCTGGATCTACAAGCTCTCTTCAATATCTTGCTTCTTCTCTAAACACATTCTTCTTCAAAAACACCAAAATACTCCTCTAATGGCCATCCAAGCTCCAAAATCACTCAAATGAGGGCTAAGGGTCGATTTCCAGGGTTTAAGGGTGGAGTCTGAAGATATTAGGGTTAGATTATGAGATAAGGAGCTTAAATAGGGTCCAAGACCCTAAAATAGGGTTCAGGTCTGATTGGCGTACGCCCAGCGTACTCCGAAGAACATTCGCGACCATCCTGGTCAGTACGCCCAGCGTACTGCCTTCTTCACTAGTACGCCCAGCGTACTCTTTGTGTACGCCCAGCGTACTCGGCTAAGCCTGAAACCACTAAACTTCCGAAGCCCATAACTTCTTCGTTATAAATTCATTTTCGACGATCCTTATATCCACGAAAAGGTAACGAGAAGCCCTATACTTATATCAACTCATATATTCCTTAAGACCTTCCGAAAACAAGTCCATTTTCCACAAAAGCCCAAACTGACATTTTACCGAAATACCCCTAGGCTCCAAAACACAAATCGAACATCCGGATCGGTTCTAATACATCACTCGCACCCAAAATGGCCTAGATCTTACCCTTTTCAAAATTCGTAATCCTTATGATGACCGGCCTTCGGGCCACAGCCTCAGAGTAGGAGTCAATTCAGAACAGGGCGTTACAATGCGGTTATCTTGGTGAGTAGATTTATGGAGAAGCCTTATTCAAATCATTGGGAAGTTGCCAAGAGAATCTTAAGATATGTTAAAGGAACCATTGACTATGGAATTTTTTATAAAGCTAACACACCAGTGAATCTTATTGGTTATACTTGATAGTGATTTAGCTGGAAGTATGGATGATAGTATAAGCACATCTGGATATGTTTTTCATCTTGGAAGTGGTGCAATATCATGGAGCTCAAAGAAACAACAAGTTGTGGCACTCTCTACAACCGAGGTTGAATATATTGTTGCAACTTATGTAGGATGTCAATTGGTTTGGTTACGTGGAATATTGGAGACTATTCATAAAAAACAAAACAAGCCAACAACTTTGTTTTGTGATAATAGTTCAACAATTTCTGTCACAAAAGATCCCACTCTTCATGGAAGGACAAAACATATACGCGTACGATATCATTTCTTGAGAGAACTTGTAAACGAAGGAGATGTTCACATTGAGTATTGCAAGTCGGAAGATCAAACATCGAATATTTTCACAAAGCCACTTGGTGCTCATGTTTTCAAAGGACATGTTGAAAGACTCGGAGTTAAAAGCAAGTTTAATTTACAGGAAGCATTGTTGGAAAAAATAAATTTACTTGCATGAGTTTATGGAGTTTTTATTATCTTTTATTAAGTTTTTACTTCTTGTTTTTTGTAACCTATGGAATAAATAGTTTTTTTTTTTTTTTTTTTTTTTTTTTTTTTTTTAAGAAAATGGTTTCCATAAAATTTTAATTGTCATCGTACAATGAGTGAGATGGCAAACTGGCAACAAGCTGTGCCGCTAAGCCTTTTTGAATGGAAATAAATAATGGTAGAGATAATGGTAGCTAACGAAGAATCTAGTCATTTATGGAGTAACTATGGAGGTTACAAATGAAGTCTATATATTGACTTTTTTTGTTGTTTTTCAAGTGATGAGAAATAATCTAGAAGAAATAAAATCCATTTTTTCTTTCTGTCGTTTTTTTAGTAAATATTTCCATCAATTACTCGCCTGGATCAATAAGCATAGTCTAACTTTATTTTCTTTTAGTCGCTCATTGATAACAGCTTAAACAACATCATATATTCTTTAGGTGTCTCAAGGGTCGCTCACCTACGGTTTTTGACTTGCCAATAAAACGCATTCCTTAGCTTTTTTAGCAATCAAGGTGCAATGAACTAATCTTAACTCATAACATATCTAACTATCTTCTTATGGCGACTAGTAGTTATAACCTACAGGAACATATCGTGAAAAACATGACAGTGATAACATATCTAAACTCTTCAGAGGTTTCCCATCATAATCTTATGAGGGTAAGTAGAATATTTGGACGTCTTGCACAACGTTTTTGTGTTTTACACTTTTACAACATTACCCCTGATGTATACATGCTTGACAAGGAAACCGATAGACATAAACTATGGGTATAACTCCAGTTCTCCATTTTTTATTGATTTATGATTATTAAATCTTATAAGCAGTAGATTATATGTCTAGAGGCTAGAGCTGTATACATCAATTTGCATCATATAATTCCACTCGATTCCATTAAATATTTATTATGACATCATCTGATACTATCCAAGCGAGGAAAGTGTACCAAAGGGATGCCATTTTAGAAGTATAAATTTATGATTGATCTTATCATCGTCATCATTTCACCTAACCACTATATTAAACATAATTCTGACCTAATCATTTGGTGGCATCCTCTTGTTTGCACTATTATGAGAAAAACAAAATTCCATCACCAAATGTTTCTACTAGTAAGAAACTACTGTTCCAAATTAACATTTAATGTATGCCGAATATTTCCAGCAGGTGCCGGCAACCGCAACAAAACCAGGAGAGAGGTAAAAGTAAATAGCAAAACTATATATATATATATATATATATATATATATATATATATATATATATATATATATATATATCCGGTTGTGTCGATAATAGAAATATGTGACTTGTTTTTTCAAAGTGCTTTCCTGTAGAGGAGATATCTGAAATCTATCACAGATTCCATCTAAAGATTAGTCAGCATATAAATGAGTATCTGGGAGATTGACCAAGAGACATAAATCTGTGTAGCCAATGGAGTCCAAGAAGAACAAAAGCACAAAGAAAGAAATCAACAGAGGAGCATGGACTGCAGAAGAAGATGAAAAGCTAGCTGAAGCAATCGAGATACATGGTCCAAAGAAATGGACAGTTATTGCAGCTAAAGCAGGTATATATAACAAATTAAAAAGAGTTAAATGTGGGGGAATGATGTGATTAAATATTGATGAGGGGTTGGTTTGCAGGTTTACAAAGATGTGGCAAGAGTTGTAGGCTAAGATGGTTAAACTATTTGAGACCAAACATCAAGAGAGGAAACATATCAGACCAAGAGGAGGACTTGATTATTAGGCTTCATAAACTTTTAGGAAACAGGTTGATCATTACCATATATATATTCTCTCTTTTTTTGAATCAATTATTTCTAAGTTTATATTAACAAATTTCAAAGAAAGTTAATTAATTCTTATACTTGTTGTTATTAGGTGGTCACTGATTGCGGGAAGACTACCAGGTCGAACTGATAATGAGATCAAGAACTATTGGAATTCTCATTTAAGCAAAAAGAAGGAAATAATGGAAAAAGAAACTGGTTATTGTTCAACAAGAGACTGCTCTGAGAGAAGGAGGGTGGTAGAGATGGAGGATCATGTGAAAGCCATGGACAAACGTGGAGTTGAATGTTCAAAGGTGAACTTTAATGTTGATGAGTTTTTTGATTTCTCAAATGAGGATCCATCAACTTTGGATTGGGTTAACACGTATCTTGCTGGAACGAGTAGCATATTTATGTAGGGAACTTTCAATTGTTACTTGGTAAATCTCATGCTAGGCTACCTCTAAAAAGTACTGTACTAAAGTTAAATAATCTCATGCATATTTAAGATTTCTGAGTTTCTTCGGATGCTTCCATCTGTAAAATTGTAAATCCCTTGGATCTATTACAAATGGTTCTGTCCTTCTAGTCATCATTTCAACAGTCACAAAAGTTTGCCTCGTTAACAATTTAGTGACGGATATTAGCAATTAGCAAAGATTATAGTGATTGTATAGTTAGTCAAATACTTTTCAAAAAAATAAATTTTCATGACAACTGTTTAAGGCAGAAATAGGACAACTATTTTGTCACTGTGTTACAAAAAAAATTATGTTGCTAATATGTCGCTAACATGATCATATGTGACAGAATGTTTTGTCGCCAATCCTTCTGTGATATGTCGTTGCAAATCTTTTGTTTCTTTTAAATTTGCCTTCATGGTAATGTGTAGGTCTCGTTGTCCTTTGTTTCGCAAATTAAACCCAAATATAACTAGTTAAACCATCAACTTTAGATGCATAACCCAAAGTCAAATAAGTTTATTGTTCATCTCACGGTGATTCAGCATGCCGCAGATATATTTGCATTGACACAATAACCAAATACATATTTATTGCTAGTGCAAAGCCATAAACCATTCTTAGAAAGTACAATGTCCTAATAGAATGCATATTGTCTAATTAGGTAGATTTAGCAAATTATACTTTGAAAAGTCTATCAAGTTATAGCAATGTGGCCCAAATACAAAGTACAATGTCATAACAAGGAAAATTTTGGAAGTATAAATTATAAAGAGTAGATTTTGCAAAGTGCAATATCCTAATAGAAAGTATAATATCTAATTGAGTCAGATTTGCAAACTATACCTTGAAAACTCTACCAAATCATAGCATGATGGTCAAATACATAGTACAATGTCCTAATGAGAAATAATTTGAACGCAAAATTACAAGTTATAACCGGGTAGATTTCCAATGTACATTGTCTTAATTGAAAATACATCCTAATAAAAAATATAATATTCTAATAGAAATTACAATGTTTAATCGGGTAAAATTGGCATATCATACTATGAAAAAACTACCAAACTATAGCAACGACATCCAAAAGCGAAGTACAATGTCCTGATAAGAAAATGTTTAAAGGTAGAATTACCAAAATTATAATTTGTTTGATTATCCAAAGTACAGTTTCTAATGAGAACTACAATGTCTCAATTACATGTTGAGTACTAACAAACATGTATCCTACGGATATCCTACTTTGTCAATCTTGTAATTCTATTAGAACTTAGGAGAGCATACAAATTTAATATTTTCAAACACGATGAATATTTGGATCTGGGTCAAACATTTTAACATCAAGATCACATTCACATTTTAATCAGTGGCGAGTCTAGAACGTAAAATCATGTGGTTCGCTATTTAAGTGAAGCCGGAAAAAATGGTAAAAAAAAAATAATAATAATAGTAGTTGCAAGTTCGGGTCGGGTTGTATAACCAAAATTTTTTTAAGTTTTTATAAGTATACTCAATGAGGTCTTGTATCTTGATATTAGCTGTGGGGTCAGGGCCGGACGGACGGCGGGTAATTTCAGATTTGTGCAATTGTGTATCACGGTATCAACGTATACCTTGAAGTGGAAGAAGAACGACATGTTGAGAACGAATTTTTTTTATATATTGTTTGTTTTTTTTTCTTTTTTCTCGTATTTATCTAATTATCTTTAACTTGTATTGGAGTATTTTTTTTTTATTGCATTATACCTTAAATGAATTTGGTGCCTATTAAAACATAAAATGTGAGCTTTTGAAATTTTAATTTATACGTATTTTGTTGTCAAAAACAATAAGATGGTTCGCTCTTTCAAAAAAAAAACATTAAGATGGTTCACTCCAAGTTTTTAAGATGGGTCACAATTTATAATTCTTTAAAATCTCTTATAAAAGATGGAAAAAAAGGTGGTTCAAGTGACCCGCCTTCTATACACAGACTCGCCAATGATTTTAACATGTGATCATATTAACATATATAGAAACTAAACAACATTGTAGAAACTTACTTCCTAGAGTCACACCTAGTGCATGAGTACATTTACATATGGAATGCAACTCATCTCTAGAGGGAGTTTTTCAAGCTTTTGTATTTCTTGATGCTCAACTTTACTCAAACTTGTTTTTACTGAAAATAGTTCTTGCTAACATTTATGACCAATTCGAGCTTTTTTGGCAAAGTTGCTTTAACAAAAATAGTTCCTTTTTCTTGATGCTCAACTTTACTCAAACTTGTTTTTACTGAAAATAGTTCTTGCTAACATTTATGACCAATTCGAGCTTTTTTGGCAAAGTTGCTTTAACAAAAATAGTTCCTTTTTTTGGAAAAAAAATTGTTCCTATCGACATTCAAGTGCCCTTTTTCTTTATTCCTATAAAAGTATGGATAGGAGAGAAAATCACTTTCATTATTGATACACAAGATGAATACATATACAAACAAGCCTTAGCTCAGAGAGAAAAAACATGATAAATGAAAGAATCTACAACAATTAAAGAGAGATTTTAAATAGTTTCCTAAAGCATAAGAAGCTTTTCTTCACCATTAACAACCTCAGATAAATCAAATAAATTACACCCTGTTGCTATGCTTGCTTCATCAATCTCTCAAACTGATCTTTCCAGTTCAAAACCTTTTCTTCACCATTAACAACCTCAAATACCATTCCTCTTTCTGGCACTACATCCAGAGCTTCAATGCATATATATGCAGCATCTTCCTTGCTAAGACTTCCATTTTCTGTACAACCCTGTTTAATTTTTATGATAATAACATCAAACCAAATTTTAAAATCACTTGTTTTCCTTTTTTATAAATCCAACAAAATACCTCTTCAAAACTAAAACCAGACTTGCCCCCACGATCATTTGTTAGCAACCCAGTTCTGATAATTGTGTATGGGACTCCTGATGAAACTAACACAGATTCATCTTCCTCTGATAGCTTTCTTGCATTAGTATTCATAATTGCTTGAACACCACTACTACTTTTATAAACAGACAACTGTAACATTGTCAAATCACCATATCCAACAATCTTGCAAAGTGAATTAACTATAATGAAGGAGATAAAGACTACCTGAGATAGTATAACCACATGTTGTACACCCTTCAAGCTCTCAGCTTTAGATAGAAAACCTTCCTGAAAAGATTTATGTACCACATTCGACTAAATGCTCATATAAATGGAGGGTAAAAGAGGAAAAAGAAATGGGTTGTTGATAAAGCATAAATACCTTGGGACAAATTATTGCGCGAACACCTTTCAGGGATTTCTTTAAAAATGAAGAATCCTTTGGATCTCCGGTTATTGACTTCAAGAATACAAGAATCAAGAATTAGGGGAGAAAACAACATAGACATTTGAGAAAGAGAATCTGCTAACCTCAACATAAGTACCAAATGATTCCATTGCAGCACGCTTGTCTTTCACAAGTGCCTTGACTCTAATCCGTTTTATTATTAATGACAGAATAATTGTCTGCAAAAGGTCAATAGTACAGAGCTTAACAAGAAGCCACTCATCTAAATGTTCATAAAATGTATAGATATTAACTTTGAAGGTGTGACTATTCGCTCACAAACCTGACCAATTTCATCATCACCATCGGTTACCAAAACTGCGTCCCTAATTTCATCTTCTTCTGTGTTTCAAAAGTAAAGCTAACTTTTAGTAAACAAATGAAGGAAAATAAGCAAGAGCACTTATTCAGTGGATACAGTAGATTACGTGAAGATTCAACTGTTTCCTCAAAAATGGATCCATCTTCTGAATCAAGATCAGGTGCCCCATACCATTTCCTCAACTTCGGCCCCCCTACACCAATTCAACTTCGATAAGTAACCTTAACTTTTTGGATTATTACTAGGCAGAATTGGTGTTTACTGATGTTAAAATGTTTGGAGTCGGTGCTAAAGAAACGTACATTGGATTTCAATTCCACAAGTAAAACTGATAGAATTTACAAACAAAAAGGAAAGAAAATTCAGAAATCAAATGCGAAACCTAGCTATCCCATTGATACAGGGAGTAGAAAAGTCGACCATTTTGGCAAATCGTAACAAAATACAAAATTAAAATCTGAAATGTCTGCCGAGTTAAGATCAATTTCATGATTAGCCAAATCAAGGATAATAACAATATTACAACAAGTGGTTAGTGTAATTGGAACGAAATGCAGGGATTATACCTTCGATATAGTCAAGAATTACATCGAAAAACCCCCGTTTTCCCTTCTTGGATGAGAAGCATATGACGGAGTGCTTTTTGGCGTAGCCGAGGGAAGGAGGAGAGATATAGGATTTCGAGATTGTAAGAAGCTTGTCGTGGGAAGAATGCAAGAGTGTGTAAGGAGATATTGATGATGGTAGAACTCCCGCCATTGATGAGAGAATTAGTGAGCAGCTCGTTATCGCCTCTTTCATCCATCCGTTTTCAGGATAGCCCGCGAAAGAGTGTTTGGGTCCTCACGATTACGATATGGACCATTGGGTCTCGATAATTACCGAATCACAATTAAGACAAATTGCAAAAACGGTCCTTTGCTTTGTTATTTTCTTGACAAAATTGCAAAAATAGTCCCTGTGGTTGTCAAATTTTCTGCAGTTTTGGTCCAAAAAAGTTTAGTGGTGCATCAGTAGTCCAATTTCGGATATTTTGTGTGGTTTTGGTCACTATGGTTGGCATTTATATGTAGTTTTGGTCCATACTCCACCTGAAATGACAAATATGCCCTTAAATAATTTTCTTTTTAATTTAATTTAATTTCTTTTCTAATTATTCTAATTAAAAAAAGAAAAAAAGAAAAAAAACCCCAAACCACCTCTCTCTCTCTCTCTCTCTCTCTCTCTCTCTCTCTCTCTCTCTCTCTCTCTCTCTCTCTCTCTCTCTCGACCCCTGCTTTCCCCGAAGCCACAACTCTGGTGAGATGAGCTAACAGTCGAGGAAGAGACCCCATCGGAAAAACCGGTTGTCAACCTCTCCACCTCCCCTCGGTTGCTGAGCAAA